GTTAGGGCTAGTGTCTAGATGGCTAGTCTAGTTAGGGTTAGGGCTAGTGTCTAGATGGCTAGTGTAGTTAGGGTTATGGCTAGTGTCTAGTTGGCTAGTGTAGTGTCAGGGCTAGTGTCTAGTTGGCTAGTGTGGTTAGGGCTAGTGTCTAGATGGCTAGTGTAGTAAGGGTTAGGGCTAGTGTCTAGTTGGCTAGTGTAGTTAGGGTTAGGGCTAGTGTCTAGTTGGCTAGTGTGGCTAGGGTTAGGGCTAGTGTCTAGATGGCTAGTGTAGTTAGGGTTAGGGCTAGTGTCTAGTTGGCTAGTGTGGCTAGGGTTAGGGCTAGTGTCTAGATGGCTAGTGTAGTTAGGGTTAGGGCTAGTGTCTAGATGGCTAGTGTAGTTAGGGTTAGGGCTAGTGTCTAGTTGGCTAGTGGAGTAAGGGTTAGGGCTAGTGTCTAGATGGCTAGTGTAGTAAGGGTTAGGGCTAGTGTCTAGTTGGCTAGTGTAGTTAGGGTTAGGGCTAGTGTCTAGATGGCTAGTGTAGTTAGGGTTAGGGCTAGTGTCTAGTTGGTTAGTGTAGGAACGGTTAGGGCTAGTGTCTAGTTGGTTAGTGTAGTTAGGGTTAGGGCTAGTGTCTAGATGGCTAGTGTAGTTAGGGTTAGGGCTAGTGTATAGATGGCTAGTGTAGTAAGGGTTAGGGCTAGTGTCTAGTTGGCTAGTGTAGTAAGGGTTGGGGCTAAAGGTCTGCTTGGATAGTGTAGTAAGGGTTAGAGGAAGTGCTTGTGTCTGCTTGGCTGTGTACTGACGGAAATGCTAACGAGGCTGCGACAGGAATTAAGCGGTCTCCCTCATGATAAGAACCTTCAGTTTTAAGTCTGCCAACCACTGGCACACTGACAGTGATTATTAAGACGACACCAGTCGGTGGTCATGGCCACATACGAATATAAAATAGATCAAGTCACGGCTAAATCACATGACCTTTGTGTGGCCACCCACACTCTGGAATCTCTCCACCTGTCCCCGCCCCCTGTGAAAACAGACCCTGCTCCATGTATGTACGTATGTTTAACTATTTCGCACCATACATAGCCAACCGTGCTAATTGGAGGCCCAGAGTATGCATGTTTAATACTCTTTGGTTTTATTCGGTAAAGTCACGTAGGTAAAATAAACTAAAACAATTAAATCACGACGTTTCAGAGGCAACACAAGCTTCCGTCTTCAGGTGGAAGTCACAGCAGAATATCTGTGTCAAGTGCACAGTTCCGAGACGACTTGGATTATATATAGGTCAGGGGGGGGGGGGGAAGGAGCTAGAAAGGAACGTGGGCGGGTGGGAGGGCTGAATTAAGCCGCCTTTTGTTAAACTGCAGGCGGCTGAATTCAGCCCTCCCACCCGCCCAGGTTCCTTTCTGGCTCCTCCCCCCCCTGACCAATATATAATCCAAGTCGTCTCGGAACTGTGCACTTGACACAGATATTCTGCTGTGACTGTTCCACCTGAAGACGGACGCTAGTGTTGCCTCCGAAACGTCGTGATTTAATTGTTTTCTTTTCTTTTATTTTACCTACGTGACTTTACCGAATAAAACCAAAGAGTATGAATCCTTGCAGTCACGAAAGCTTCAAATGTAGAATTATGCATGTTTAACTTATTTCGCACCGTACATAGCCAACTATGATTAATCAAAGGTAAGCTCACTTCTGCCTGCTTTCTCCTCCTCCTCTCTGCCTCCATTCCATCCGCTCTCATCCCCAACATCTTGACCCAATCATTCCTTCTCCCCCTCCTCTCCTTCCCGCCTTACCGTGGTGTACCACCAGTGAAGAGTTGTATTAAGATACAAAACATTATCAGCCACGTTTATTTATACCACAGAGGATGACAACATTATGACAATGGCATACAATAGCGATAGCAATGCTATATTACGACGTCACCTACGGGGATAACGATGTGCCTTTACGCACGCATCAACGAGTAGTGATGTACAGTTGATGACGTCGACACTGTCCACTATGACAGGAACTACAATTTAACACATACGCTTCCGTGACTAATCTGGATGTCGCCTGATGATGCTAGTTGTAGTAACTGGCGAAACCTTGTACTCGGAACTGTAAATGTTGTGGGTTTTACGCTCCTACACATCGGTGTGATGTACTTGTAACGAATTGGCACTTTTTGTTTACGTGACAAACTTTACAAATTGGCTGTGTCGTGTGGTGGCGGGTTTAACGACACATTTATATTTACGCGATATAATTCAAAAACATCTATTAAGGAATTACAATGTCAATGATGTGTGAATTCTGTGATGATGGTGAGCTATAGTGTATGTGATGAGAGCAACATCATTGTTACAGGATTGTGGTTGATGATGATGTCTGGCGTGATGCTGATGGTTATAGGCGATGATGTTACACTCGACAGACACTGGCAGTGATCGAGTTGAATGTGGGTTGTTAGAGCGTGATCAGTTACGTAATGTGTATGACATCAAATACAACGACTGCAGTGAAGAAGGCCATGGCCCGAAACGTCACCGATTATTTTTTCGATTTGAGGCCACGGTGTTACTGAAGGCGTTTTCATGGCAGTGAGATGAACTGAATATTAACTAAATTATGTATTAATTTAAGTACACATTACCATATTTTTCTTCAGAAACTGATTTAAGTGTAACATTTTGATTTAAAGCTTTCGTGACTGCAGTGACTTTACCGAAAGAGCTAAGAATATTATTTAAGTGTTTTGAAGAAGGGACATTGCCCGAAACGTCCCCTGTTATATACTTTATCTTTTTAGGCCACAGTGTTATTTACGAAGTGTTGAGTTGTTCTTTCGTACATTCCCGTATAATTTTACATCTGTTATATGGATGCAATGTGAATATTACCAATAATGGCGACACCACTTTCTATAACATAGCTTGTTTAGTATGTTGATAGAGACACCAATGTTCAGACGAACTATTGACAGTTACAAGATTTATCAGGCAATCGTTTGCGTATATTTTGCCACTAATTTATACAGACTATTAAAAGCAAGCTGAATATCAGCTATCAATCGAATTAAATCGCCCATGAATTGAATAGGTTTTTGATGATACCTCTATAGATTACACGATAAATTATATAGATTTAGGCACTATCAATACCGTGTCATTCCCCAATGATGAGGTCAATCAGTAAAGCTAGAGACTGCACACTATCGACGAGGCACTTAAAGGATATTTATGACTCAATCATAGTCAACTGATGTCTGATGCCTGGTTTGCTATCCATTTGTTAACTGGAGCAGGCGCCTTTATTTCAAACCATTTAGATACTCACTCCAAATCAATGTTTGCTCGCAAAGATGAGCGGAGAACGAGTGCGTCCTTTATTCATGTTGGATAAATCCACGCTGGATAGAGAAATTGAACTTTTAAAGGAAATAAGCCACGTGCGGTGGGCTCGTTCCAATCACAGTCACAATCAAGAAGCGACCGTGAAATCAGCTACGTGTGACCATATTCCATCCCATCAGACGAGTATAATCAGGCGCATTAAAACTCGCATTTGTTAAAAACCTACGATGAGCACGGTTGGCTACGTACGGTGCGAAAGAAGTTCAACATACATAACACCGCCGCTTTAAAATAATATGTACGTACAAGCAGGCGTTTCGGGCAATGACCCTTCTCCAGAATAACAATTCGTTTTGGAAAATGAAAAACCAACAACGCACCTTATTCAATAACCTTTTGATTTTAACAAAAAGTCGAGATAAATTATCCTACTTAATTATCCTGCTCAATGGAAGCCCAGTGCTGAAAATAATCAGCGCGGCAGTCAAAGGCAACGTTTTTCAACTGCAGCCCATGTTTTTTTTAGTCGATGCTTGGAATACGAGAGGGCCATTCAAGATTCACAGTCCGGCGTTGGCCTATGAAGTCGGGTCAAATGAGCCCCACGAACCCGCACGGCGTGGCAACCGGGGGACCACAAATTGGCGCTTTCGTTGCATGTACAGGTACGCAGCCATCTATCTGCTGACTATCGAATCAGCTTGACCAGGACTCATCGTTGGCCTAGTCAGTCCATCGAAGTATCACGAAACAAGGTAAAGAGGTAAGAGGCTGAAAGCATGCGATTGGTCGGTCGTGCACACTTACACGTGAACATTTACACAACAGAAGGCCCCAACAGACTGTAGGGGCAAGCTCTGTGAGCGAGTTAGGGCCTGTGAAGGCCGGTACGGTACACATATGGGCTGGGTGGCCAGCACCACGCCCGGCCGCCTTTGTCTCCCTAAGTGGGGATGTTTACACACCTCACCAGGTACTCATTTTAGGCTGAGTCGACCTAGGGGAAGGCCCAGGACCGGTTCAGATCAGGCGTCACCGGTGTTAGCGGGAATCGAACTCGGGTTGCCGGGTTCGTAGCGCGAACCGCCAACACACAAGAGCCATCAGCTCACAACAATACACTTTGACGAAACATCAACACTTAAAGACACTGCAGTATACAACAACAACCACACACATTCATACTCCAGGGGTGGACAGAGGCTACTCGGCATCTGCATGCTATCGAATAATCGACTATCGCTATACTGTACACAACGTCGCTCAACGCTTATCCAATACTCGGATTGTGCAGGTTACGAGTATTCGAGACTATCGATTCTCGTCATGGATGTTTGGTTGAGGCCCACGTTAATGACACGGGGCAGATTTGCGTGTGTTGTTAAGGCTTCGAACCACCGGCGACTTGAACAATTATCGCATTACGAGCAGACATTGTCTAAGAATTAACGTTGTTTGGCTGCGTCGGGTGGGTGGTTGGGGACGATCTTGACAACGCCAACACTTTTATTTTCTACAACAGTACACAGTTTGTAACGAGTCGCAAAACATCGGACGCGATCAACCTTTGAACCCCCTGCACGGTTAAACGAATATCGATTAACAATCGGAATTCGTCTGCGATCGCCGTGGCGTTTGATGAAATCGATGATCCGACACTCACCACCCACTTGAGTCCCGCGTCGCCGTTGCTCTTCGACATCTCGCCCCGCTCGTCTTTATCACCCCGCTCGTCTTTATCGCCTCGCGTGCGTCCGTCCGTGCGTGCGTCCGTCACAATAATTACACAAAGAATAAAACGGCGTCGAACCTATACGCCTCGACGAAAACGGACGGGAACGACGACGATAACAACAACAAAACCCCCCCCCCACCACTAAAACAATGCTATTGTTTGACGCGCTGCAAAGAAGGGCACATAGCCCCCGAAACGTCGCCGATCTTGAACGCTCCTTTTAGTCTCGGCACACAAGAGGCCGTACCACCACCACCCCACCACCACCCCGCGATGCGCGATCGACGGACGGGGCGGAATTTCCCTCAGCGCGGCGAGCTGATAAAAACAAAATTGTTTGTTTGCAAATTTAAAAAAAAAATCTTCACCCCGGTTCGTCTTAAGTTTTAATCGCGACTCGTTCAATCGACAAAATCGCGGTGAGAACAAAGCGGGGACAGGGTTGGATGAGGAAGGGAATGGGGGCGGGCAGGCGGGCGGGGGGGTAGGCAAGCCGCGACGTCGCGGGAAGCTTGCCCCGGCTGAGGCGAGAGGCCGCCGCCGAGTCGCCGGGGGGGTCTCGGCCGAAAAGCGAGGGCCAGAGCCAGGGCCGCCGCCGCCTCCTCCTCCCCCTCACGCAGAGACGCGCGCGCTACTACAGCAGCGAAAGTTGTTTAATTTTAAAAGCTATAATCGTACACAAAATAATAATAAACGTGACTGGGAAAGGAGGAGGGGGGGTGTTGTTTGATTTGGCAGAGGGGGTGGAGGGGGGGAAGAGAGAGAGAGAATTTTTTTTTGTTTTGTTTTAATCCGCGGGACGGAGTCGAGGCCGCGCGGGGCTGAGACTCGGCGCCGCTGGCGGGAGCCAATCGCGGCGCCGTTTGAGTGCGCGCGCCGCGCTCGGCGAGCCAATCGCCGAGACGTTTGCTGGTCGCCCGCGCGCGCCAGGGTCACGTGGGGCTCGGCTGTGCGAGATGAGTTTACCCACGAGGCACTGCGGCACTGACCCCCCCCCCCCCCACCGTCATTGACCCCCCCCACTCTCGCTGGCCCCCGCCCCTCTAGGGCCCCCCACTCTCACTGGCTCCTCCCAGGGCCCCCCCACTCTCACTGGCTCCTCCCCGCCCAGACCACCACTCTCGCTGGCCCCCACCCCCCACAGGGCCCCCCACTGTCACTGGCTCCTCCCCCCCAGGGCCACCCACTCTCGCTGGCCCCCACCCCCCACAGGGCCCCCCACTGTCACTGGCTCCTCCCCCCCAGGGCCACCCACTCTCGCTGGCCCCCACCCCCCACAGGGCCCCCCACTGTCACTGGCTCCTCCCCCCCAGGGCCACCCACTCTCGCTACCCCCCCCCCACAGGGCCCCCCACTCTCACTGGCTCCTCCTCCCCAGGGCCAGCCACTTTCGCTGCCCCCCCCAGGGCCCCCCACTCTCACTGGCTCCTCCCCAGGGCCCCCCACTCTCACTGGCTCCTCCCCCCCAGGGCCACCTACTCTCGCTGCCCCCCCCCCACAGGGCCCCCCACTCTCAGTGGCTCCTCCCCAGGGCCACCCACTCTCGCTGCCCCCCCAGGGCCCCCCACTCTCACTGGCTCCTCCCCTACCCCCCAATTGGACCACGTGATCCGTGACAGATGGGCACTGCGCTGTCGCCAAATCAGGAGCGAGCATGAGGAGCCCAGGCGCGCCGACTCCGTAGCGAATCCACTCATTATCGATTCGAGTTTCCCGATCCGTACCACAATTCTATTCAGTGATCGGTTATTTTGTATTGGCTTCGCGGTGGCGTGCAGAATATACAGAAGCTGTAAGTTTCTCGCATGAAAATGGTTCACAGTATCAATTGTAATTATGCAGCCGCTATCGATTCCACACGTAAAAAATGATCGATGCAGGCCTGACTTCGATTCCTCGATTGATGGTGGATTCGTACAAAATCGACTAATCGTCAGGTGCCCTTTGCAGGCGCAGCTCAGTAGTTGCTCTGCTCATTCTACTGCTGGCGGAAGGGCCTCTCAGGGGTTATTTGGCCTACTCTTCCACGCTGGCAATGTGCCTCGGAAGTCGCTGGGTGTCTTTAAAACGCGGCGTTCTAAATAAACAAGAATAATTCGGCGGCGAGAGGAGGAGTCGTATCGTTGTATTCGTGTTGGTGCTGCACTAGAAGGTTCGTGTTGTCTAAGCGCGCACGTGTTCTGGTTGCGAGCCCTTTAACTCGTGCGAGGTCACACGTGGAGCAAGCGCCGAGACATCACCAGGGCAGCGTGACGGCTCCCTCCTGGAGTAGCCCTCCTCTCTCTCTCTCTGCCCTTGCCTTCCCTCCTCGCTGCCCGTCACTCTGCTGGTCCATTCTATGCACTGCCCTTCTCTAATCCATTGCTGCCCTCTCGCCGACCCTGCCCTCGGGCATCCATCTAATCCCGCTTCACCCCCCACTCCCAAACATCTCCTAGCCACAACATCCTGAAACCATGTCCCCCTCGCCCTTTCTCCACCTGCGTGCCTCTCGCAGCCTGCTCAGGCACCCAGTAGTAATTACCTCTCTCACGTCAACAACAACAACATCATCACCATCACCACCCCCCCCGGCTCGCTCCGGCACGAGCGCCACTCCGCTACCATCGCCACCCCGCCGCCGCGTGGTCATCACGGGCCTCGGCTTGCTCTGCCCGCTCGGCGTGGGCTCGGACGCCGCGTGGCGTCGCCTCCTGCGGGGCGACACCGCCACCGTGGCGCTCGACCACCCGGCCTTCGCATCGCTGCCGTCCCGCGTGGCCGGCCTGGTGCCCCGCGGAACGGGGGGCGACACCGCCGCCACGTTCGACCCCTCCCTCTTCGTCCCCGCGTCCCAAGCCAGGCAGCTGTCCCCCACCACCGTCATGGCCTTGGCCGCGGCCCGCCTCGCCTTGGACGACAGCGGCTGGCGGCCCCGCGACCCCGAGGAGCAGCTGCGCGCCGGGGTGGCCGTCGGGGTCGGGGTGGCCGATCTGGAGGAGATCGTGAACGCCGGGGTGGCGCTGCGGGAGCTGGGAGCCCGCAAGCTGAGCCCCTTCTTCGTGCCCAAGATCCTCACCAACATGGCCGGGGCCCACATCAGCATCGCGCACGGCCTCAAGGGCCCCGTGCACTCCGTGTCCACGGCCTGCGCCACGGGAGCCCACGCACTGGGCGACGCGGCTCGCCTCGTCGCACGCGGGGACGCCGACGTGATGCTGGCTGGCGGGGCCGAGGCGGCCGTGACCCCGCTGGCCGTGGCCGGCTTCTGCAGGGCGCGCTCGCTGAGCACGGCCTTCAACGGGAGGCCCGAGGCGGCCTCCCGGCCCTTCCACCCGGAGCGCGACGGCTTCGTGATCGCCGAGGGTGCCGCCGTGGTGGTGCTGGAGGAGATGGAGCGCGCCGTGGGGAGAGGCGCGCGGATCCTGGCCGAGGTGATGGGCTACGGGATGTCTGGTGACGCCAACCACATCACGGCGCCCAGCGAGGATGGTGATGGTGCCTACAGGTGGTGGTGGTGTGTGTCTGTGTGTGTCTGTCTGTGTGTGTCTGTGTGTGCCCATACCTGTCAACCCCTTACCGGCGCCCTTACCTTATTACAGACCAATTCAGACATTATTGGTCAGCCCGTGCCCTTGTCAATCTCAACGTTCATCCTACAGAGTCCCATCACAGGCGAGAAACACAAACAAGTAGCCAATCGCCACCACTACACTCACCACTGTTACTCTCACCACCACTACACTCACCACTAGTACTCTCACCACTACTACACTCACCACTATTACTCACCACCACTACACTCACCACTAGTACTCTCACCACCACTACACTCACCACTATTACTCCACCACTACACTCACCACTGTTACTCTCACCACTACTACACTCACCACTAGTACTCTCACCACTAGTACACTCACCACCACTCACCGCTAGTACTCTCACCACCACTACACTCACCACGACATACCTGCTAACCCCTTATCAGTGCCTACCTTATTACAAATCAATGTATACCTTATTGGTCAGCCCGTGCCCTTGTCAATCTGAACGTTCATCCTACAAAGTCCCATCACAAGACAAAAAATAAGTTTTGATTTGAAGCTTTCGTGACTGCAGGAATCCATACTCTTTGGTTCTTTCGGTAAAGCCATCACTTAGGTATAAAATAAAATAAATCCGATGACGGACGCTTGTGTTGAGCCCGAAACGTCGTGATTTATTTTATACTTACGTGACTTTACCGAAAGAACCAAAGAGTATGAAAATTAAGTTACTGAACAAAAACTTTTATGTATCCATTTGATTATTGGTGTCAATAATGTAGCACATGGAGTTGAATTGTTAACTGTGACACGTGTAGGACTTGGTATTGAACTGGTCACTGTGTCGTGTGTAGAACCTGGTGTCGAACTGATAACTGGGTTACCTGTAGGACCTGGTATTGAACTGGTCACTGTGTCATGTGTAGAACCTGGTGTCGAACTGGTCATCTGCCATGTGTAGTCGTAGTACCTGGCGGTGAACCGGTCACTCTGTCACCTCCTCTCACTGCAACTCCCACCACTCCACTGCGCACGCAGGTGCATGGAGGCCGCCCTGCTCGACGCCGGCCTCAGCCCCAGCGACGTCGGCTACATCAACGCTCACGCCACGTCCACTCCCCTAGGCGACGCGGCCGAGCTCTGCGCCATCCAGCGCCTCTTCGGGTCCCGCTGCTCCTCCTCCTCCTCTGGCGGCGTTCCGGCCCTCGCCGTCTCATCGACAAAGGGCGCCACCGGTCACCTGCTCGGCGCAGCCGGCGCACTGGAGGCGGCCTTCGCGGCCCTGGCGTGCGCGCACGCCGAGCTGCCGCCCACCGCCAACCTGGACCGCGTGGAGCCGGGCTGCACCCTCAACCTCGTGCCGCTGCGCTCACAGCCGTGGCCGCAGCATGACCTTTGCCGCCGCCGCGTGGCGTTAACCAACTCGTTCGGGTTTGGCGGCACCAACGCCTCGCTGTGCCTGGGCAGTGTGGACGCATGATGCGCCTATCTGGAACGTTCTTCCCTCTGATGTTAAGAAGCCACTGGAGCTGATTCACTTTTCAATCTAAAATTGGTAACTCATTTATTCGGAACTACTTTTTGTGTTTAGGTTGTCCCTCCGCCGCACCTCCGATTAGCACGGTTGGCTCCATACGGTGCGAAAGAAGTTCAACATGGTTGGTGACGGTGGTGGTGGTGGTGCAGGGAGGTGGAAGGCTTCGTCGAAGAGCGGCATTAATTTCTTTATTGAAATTAGTGACGAAGATATTTGCCAACAATTTTTTTTATTTAAGTGAAAAACGGTGACTATGAGTGAATGACAATCATCAAGCGTGACGATGACCACCGGAGTAGAGAGAGTGTGAGGAGTTGAAACTCATGAGTCTGAATGAAGACGCACACGTTGGTAATTTACTGAAATTACGAGAGACTACCTTCACAGGGGATGTCACAAAGCTCTGCCCCCCCCCACCAAAAAAAAAAACTATTGTCATTGTAGTGCGTATTTAATGTGGCGCTGCACTCTGATGTAGGAGAAAACATTTATTTAAAAATCTAATTAAGTAGAACGTGTTTATTTTTATTAAAATTTGCGCATTTTGATGTGACGTCACATTTCTCAAACCCCCACCTCCCCCCCCCCCTTGTCACACATCGTCACAAATGTCTGACCCCCCCCCCCCCCGGTGCATGACGTCATTTATGGACGGCCCCACATCCGTTTTCTTGTACAGGAAGTTTTCAGGTTCATACGGCGTACAGCCGTTTCAATACGGGCAAATATATCTTTTTGTCTATTTGTGTTTCTCCCTGGTGAATGAACTTTGTAGGATGAACGTTGAGATTTATAAGGGCACAGAAAAGTTTCACGAAATTGTGGAGACTTTTAAATTAGGTTTTCCTGCTTTGGGGTGTTTGTCTCTTTCCATTTATCATGAAAGAAACTCAACAAATGTGTCAAATTACACTGACTTAAAAGTTAAAGAAATAAGTATAATGCTCGACGTTTTGGGCACTAGCCCTTCTTAGCACATGTGCTAAAACATTAGTTAACGGTGTCATTATTGTAAGAAGATTATTATATAAGCAGTGTAAATTTGTAAAACCCAGAAGAGTTTTTTTCGGAGCTTGTGAATAATGTAAATAAAAAATCCAAGTATACTTGTATAAATTATTATCAGCGTCCTGAAGGTCATTTGTCGAAGTTCAAATCGTTTCCGACCCGAGTGAACGCAGCGATAATGGTGGATATTCCACATTCCTATGGCGAGGGCCCGTCATTGCGCGGGTCATCCACTGTCCTTATTTCATGAACTCCGGAGATGATGGCTCTAATGCGTTGCCCGACCGCGACTTGAGTGATCTCTGTGTCTATGGGCCTTCTTTCGCCACCGTACATAGTCAACCGCGCTAATCGGAGATGCGGGGCAAGGACAACAAACTAAACACAAGAAGGGAAACAATAAAATAATATATATAATAAACAATATATCCTTATTTTATTGTTTCCCTTCAACGTGACCTTACCGAAAGAACCAAGAATATGAATCACTGCAGTCACGAAAGCTTTAAATCAAAATTTAAACACAAGAGGTAGAACAATTCGTACAAGTGCGTTTATAATGTTTTATTATTTTTTAAAAGCTTGAAAATTTAATTACTGTACTGTCATTAAAAAAACGCGTTTTTTAAATCAATCTGGCTAAATAAACCATCCCGGCTTCCATAGATACTACGCCTCATGGGGGTGGGGGGGGAGGAATCCGCCTTAGGTTTCGGACGTCACCGCGTTTAGCCCCGACGTCACCACGCTGCACGTCACCTGCCTTCGCCTTACCCGAATGACATCACGGCGTTGATCACTAACGTCAACCACGCCGACTGAACAAATTCGCCGTTATACGTCACCACGTTTAAACCTGACGTTACCACGCCGCATGCCTCCGCCGCACGTAACCACCAACTGCGCGATGACGTCATGACGCCGTCGCAGTCAAAGCCTTCCCTCCTGCCGAGTGACGTCACAACCGAAGCGGTGACGTCACGGCGTCTGACGTCACCGCGTTGAGCCTTTCCCCCCCCAAGGCCGTGGAGATGGCGGTGTCGTTGGGACAGCTCCCGCTGCAGCAGCTGGAGGCGCTGAGGACACAGCTGGAGCAGGTAGCGGGGCGCCTTCGGGGGCTGGGGCGACAACGAGGGACCCCCCCCCGCCCACAGACGAGGGTGTTGGGGGGGGGGGTTAACCGCGCCGCGGGGTGGCTGGGGGTGATGGCTGTGGACCTGTCATGGCGGCGGTTTCTTAGGGTTCAGTGTGTAGGGCGTGCACTGGCTCGTCTGCCGTGCGACACGCGGGGCTGGAGGCGAACTGGAAGGTCGCTCGCTCGCTCCGCGGTTGTTCCTGAGGCCCAGGCTCTCGTCCTGCTTTGATTGACAAGAGGCCTGCACCGTGTGGGTCTTGAGAGCGGCCGCGGGAGCGAAACACGCCCTGAGATTATTACATTTGTGTCGCTGCTGCTGCCGCTGCTGCTGCAAATGTCTACACATGATGGGAGCCACTTTGTAGCGCTGCTATCATTTGTGGTGGCCAGGTCTGTGAAAAAGAGCTTTATAGCTCACCGGATTCCTACGGTGTAAATAAATATTAAAAGTTGTTGGTGGACGAGCGGTGGCCGTGTGGCGCGCTGCGTTGCTACCATCACAGAGTCCCTGCCGAGTTCCATTCCCGCTCACGGCCGCCGACTCAGTGACGATCATCAGAATCGGTCCTGGGCCTCCCCTAGGTCAACTCAACCTCAAATGAGTACCTGGTACAGTGTGTAGTAAACATCGTCACTGGGGGAGACAAAGGCGGCCGGGCGTGGTGCTGGCCACCCATCCCCCTCGCGTGCCGTGCCGGCCCTTAATAGATGGTCGCTAATAACACTTATTGGGAATCTTTGTTGGTAGATGCGACTCTATTCTTGCTTACGATGGCAAAAGTGCGATTCAGGAGCTAAATACCGAGGTCTGGTAGCCACGGCTTCGGTAGAGAGAGAGAGAGTTGGTGTAGGTTTGTTTCAGTAGAGAGAGTTTGTGTAGGTTTGTTTCAGTAGAGAGAGAGTTTGTGTAGGTTTGTTTCAGTCGAGAGAGTTTGTGTAGGTTTGTTTCAGTAGAGAGAGTTTGTGTAGGTTTGTTTCAGTAGAGAGTTCGTGTAGGTTTGTTTCAGTAGAGAGTTTGTGTAGGTTTGTTTCAGTAGAGAGAGAGTTTGTGTAGGTTTGTTTCAGTAGAGAGAGAGTTGGTGTAGGTTTGTTTCAGTAGAGAGAGTTTGTGTAGGTTTGTTTCAGTAGAGAGAGTTTGTGTAGGTTTGTTTCAGTAGAGAGAGTTTGTGTAAGTTTGTTTCAGTAGAGAGAGAGAGTTTGTGTAGGTTTGTTTCAGTAGAGAGAGAGAGTTTGTGTAGGTTTGTTTCAGTAGAGAGAGAGTTTGTGTAGGTTTGTTTCAGTAGAGAGAGAGTTTGTGTAGGTTTGTTTCAGTAGAGAGAGAGTTTGTGTAGGTTTGTTTCAATAGAGAGAGAGTTTGTGTAGGTTTGTTTCAGTAGAGAGAGAGTTTGTGTAGGTTTGTTTCAGTAGAGAGAGAGTTTGTGTAGGTTTGTTCAGTAGAGAGAGAGAGTTGTGTAGGTTTGTTTCAGTAGAGAGAGAGTTTGTGTAGGTTTGTTTCAGTAGAGAGAGTTTGTGTAGGTTTGTTTCAGTAGAGAGAGAGAGAGTTTGTGTAGGTTTGTTTCAGTAGAGAGAGAGAGAGTTTGTGTAGGTTTGTTTCAGTAGAGAGAGAGAGAGTTTGTGTAGGTTTGTTTGAGTAGAGAGAGAGAGTTGGTGTAGGTTTGTTTCAGTAGAGAGAGTTTGTGTAGGTTTGTTTCAGTAGAGAGAGAGTCTGTGTAGGTTTGTTTCAGTAGAGAGAGAGTCTGTGTAGGTTTTGTTTCAAGTAGAGAGAGAGTTGGTGTAGGTTTGTTTCAGTAGAGAGAGTTTGTGTAGGTTTGTTTCAGTAGATGAGAGTTGGTGTAGGTTTGTTTTCAGTAGAGAGAGTTTGTGTAGGTTTGTTTCAGTAGAGAGGTTTGTGTAGGTTTGTTTCAGTAGAGAGAGAGAGTTTGTGTAGGTTTGTTTCAGTAGAGAGAGTTTGTGTAGGTTTGTTTCAGTAGAGAGAGAGAGTTCGTGTAGGTTTGTTTCATTAGAGAGAGTTTGTGTAGGTTTGTTTCAGTAGAGAGAGTTCGTGTAGGTTTGTTTCAGTAGAGAGAGTTGGTGTAGGTTTGTTTCAGTAGAGAGAGTTCGTGTAGGTTTGTTTCAGTCGAGAGAGTTTGTGTAGGTTTGTTTCAGTAGAGAGTTCGTGTAGGTTTGTTTCAGTAGAGAGAGAGAGTTTGTGTAGGTTTGTTTCAGTAGAGAGAGAGAGTTTGTGTAGGTTTGTTTCAGTAGAGAGAGAGTTTGTGTAGGTTTGTTTCAGTAGAGAGAGAGTTTGTGTAGGTTTGTTTCAGTAGAGAGAGAGTTTGTGTAGGTTTGTTTCAGTAGAGAGAGAGTTTGTGTAGGTTTGTTTCAGTAGAGAGAGAGTTTGTGTAGGTTTGTTTCAGTAGAGAGAGAGAGTTTGTGTAGGTTTGTTTCAGTAGAGAGAGAGTTTGTGTAGGTTTGTTTCAGTAGAGAGAGAGTTTGTGTAGGTTTGTTTCAGTAGAGAGAGTTTGTGTAGGTTTGTTTCAGTAGAGAGAGAGAGTTTGTGTAGGTTTGTTTCAGTAGAGAGAGAGAGAGTTTGTGTAGGTTTGTTTCAGTAGAGAGAGTTTGTGTAGGTTTGTTTCAGTAGAGAGAGAGTCTGTGTAGGTTTGTTTCAGTAGAGAGAGAGTTGGTGTAGGTTTGTTTCAGTAGAGAGAGTTTGTGTAGGTTTGTTTCAGTAGAGAGAGTTGGTGTAGGTTTGTTTCAGTAGAGAGAGTTTGTGTAGGTTTGTTTCAGTAGAGAGAGTTTGTGTAGGTTTGTTTCAGTAGAGAGAGAGAGAGAGTTTGTGTAGGTTTGTTTCAGTAGAGAGAGTTTGTGTAGGTTTGTTTCAGTAGAGAGAGAGAGTTCGTGTAGGTTTGTTTCATTAGAGAGAGTTTGTGTAGGTTTGTTTCAGTAGAGAGAGTTCGTGTAGGTTTGTTTCAGTAGAGAGAGTTGGTGTAGGTTTGTTTCAGTAGAGAGAGTTCGTGTAGGTTTGTTTCAGTAGAGAGTTCGTGTAGGTTTGTTTCAGTAGAGAGAGAGAGTTTGTGTAGGTTTGTTTCAGTAGAGAGAGAGAGTTTGTGTAGGTTTGTTTCAGTAGAGAGAGAGTTGGTGTAGGTTTCTTTCAGTAGAGAGAGTTTGTGTAGGTTTGTTTCAGTAGAGAGAGTTTGTGTAGGTTTGTTTCAGTAGAGAGAGTTTGTGTAAGTTTGTTTCAGTAGAGAGAGAGAGTTTGTGTAGGTTTGTTTCAGTAGAGAGAGAGAGAGTTTGTGTAGGTTTGTTTCAGTAGAGAGAGAGTTTGTGTAGGTTTGTTTCAGTAGAGAGAGAGTTTGTGTAGGTTTGTTTCAGTAGAGAGAGAGTTTGTGTAGGTTTGTTTCAGTAGAGAGAGAGTTTGTGTAGGTTTGTTTCAGTAGAGAGAGAGTTTGTGTAGGTTTGTTTCAGTAGAGAGAGAGAGTTTGTGTAGGTTTGTTTCAGTAGAGAGAGAGTTTGTGTAGGTTTGTTTCAGTAGAGAGAGAGTTTGTGTAGGTTTGTTTCAGTAGAGAGAGTTGTGTAGGTTGTTTCAGTAGAGAGAGAGAGAGTTTGTGTAGGTTTGTTTCAGTAGAGAGAGAGAGAGTTTGTGTAGGTTTGTTTCAGTAGAGAGAGAGAGTTGGTGTAGGTTTGTTTCAGTAGAGAGAGTTTGTGTAGGTTTGTTTCAGTAGAGAGAGAGTCTGTGTAGGTTTGTTTCAGTAGAGAGAGAGTTGGTGTAGCTTTGTTTCAGTAGAGAGAGTTTGTGTAGGTTTGTTTCAGTAGAGAGAGTTGGTGTAGGTTTGTTTCAGTAGAGAGAGTTTGTGTAGGTTTGTTTCAGTAGAGAGAGTTTGTGTAGGTTTGTTTCAGTAGAGAGAGAGAGAGAGTTTGTGTAGGTTTGTTTCAGTAGAGAGAGTTTGTGTAGGTTTGTTTCAGTAGAGAGAGTTTGTGTAGGTTTGTTTCAGTAGAGAGAGAGAGTTTGTGTAGGTTTGTTTCACTAGAGAGAGAGTTCGTGTAGGTTTGTTTCAGTAGAGAGAGTTCGTGTAGGTTTGCTTCAGTAGAGAGAGTTTGTGTAGGTTTGTTTCAGTAGAGAGTTCGTGTAGGTTTGTTTCAGTAGAGAGTTCGTGTAGGTTTGTTTCATTAGAGAGAGAGAGAGAGTTTGTGTAGGTTTGTTTCAGTAGAGATAGTTTGTGTAGGTTTGTTTCAGTAGAGAGAGAGTTTGTGTAGGTTTGTTTCAGTAGAGAGAGAGTTTGTGTAGGTTTGTTTCAGTAGAGAGAGTTTGTGTAGGTTTGTTTCAGTAGAGAGAGTTTGTGTAGGTTTGTTTCAGTAGAGAGAGAGTTGGTGTAGGTTTGTTTCAGTAGAGAGAGTTCGTGTAGGTTTGCTTCAGTAGAGAGAGTTTGTGTAGGTTTGTTTCAGTAGAGAGAGTTTGTGTAGGTTTGTTTCAGTAGAGAGTTCGTGTAGGTTTGTTTCAGTAGAGAGAGAGAGTTTGTGTAGGTTTGTTTCAGTAGAGAGAGAGTTGGTGTAGGTTTGTTTCAGTAGAGAGAGTTTGTGTAGGTTTGTTTCAGTAGAGAGAGTTTGTGTAGGTTTGTTTCAGTAGAGAGAGAGTTTGTGTAGGTTTGTTTCAGTAGAGAGAGAGTTTGTGTAGGTTTGTTTCAGTAGAGAGAGAGTTTGTGTAGGTTTGTTTCAGTAGAGAGAGTTCGTGTAGGTTTGTTTCAGTAGAGAGAGAGTTTGTGTAGGTTTGTTTCAGTAGAGAGAGAGTTGGTGTAGGTTTGTTTCAGTAGAGAGAGTTCGTGTAGGTTTGTTTCAGTAGAGAGAGAGTTCGTGTAGGTTTGTTTCAGTAGAGAGAGAGTTTGTGTAGGTTTGTTTCAGTAGAGAGAGTTTGTGTAGGTTTGTTTCAGTAGAGAGAGAGAGTTTGTGTAGGTTTGTTTCAGTAGAGAGAGAGAGTTCGTGTAGGTTTGT